GCTTTGTCCTTTTCTTTTACGTGTATATGTGTATGTTTGTCTGTGCCTGTGCTCATGTGTGCGTGTGTGTGTGTGTGCGTGTGTGTGTCTGACCTCATGCATATGTGTATATTTTTTCTGAACTACTTAAGAGTAAATTGCCTTCATCATGTTTACTTAATCCTAAATTCTTCACTTGTCTTCCCTAAACACAGTGATAAAAATCAGGAACTTAACACTGGTAACGAATTATTATCTAATCTATTGACCTTATTCGATTTCACCAGTTGTCCCCACTGTGTCTTTTATAGCAAAATAAAACCCCAGATCCTGTGTTGCATTCAGTTGTCATATCTCTCCTTTCCTTTAATTTGGAGCCATTTTCCAGTATTTCTTTGTGTTTCAGGGTATATTAGAGACCTAGGTTTTTTGTTTGTTTGTTTGCTGGTTTTGGTTGTATCTAAGTATATACCAACCATTGTTCCATACTGATTGATCTTGAGAGCAGTGTGTCATAGTGATTGAGCCAGGGCTCTGAGGCCAGACTACCTGGTTTCAAATGCTTGTTTCACTAATTAATACCTCCGTTATCTTAAACAAGTTTTCTTAACTGTGAAATGCAGATACCAGTACTACCTCTTAGGGTTGTGAGAATTAAATGAACGCATATGTATACATTACTGAGTACAGTGGCTGGCCCAGAGTAAGCTCTCAAAAAACGCTAGCCATTCGTATTCACACCACTAAGTGACATTCCCAGAGACATTTTACCGACATCTTAGCAGTAGCTGGTGTGGCTCTGTGCTCTCCCTCTCCCCTCCCACCCTCCTTTTTTTCACATCTAGGTTCCAGGGAGCAAACTTGGCCAGCTTCCTCAACTGCACTGGGGTTTAGGTTGGTAAACCTGCTTTAAGAGAATGGCTCCTAGATGCTGGTTCATAGACTCGTATTGGTGGGTTACAGAGTTTCACTGGTTTAAGAATAGGAACAGTGAAATGACTTTTCATAAATGTGAAATGTTTTATTAATTATTTATTATAAAATTATATAGTTCTTTCTTTTTTGGTTTAGAATGTTCTTTTTAAAAATGATGTTTATTACAGATGGTTGTCCTGTCATTCATTATTATATTTTAATATATTTAGTAGGCAAAAAAAAAAAAAAGCAAGAAAAGGCATACCTATTAATCCCAAAAACATGTTTAGAGATTTTAGTGGTCCATGGCAGTCAATGGTCTGGGAATTACTGCTCTAAAAGACATATGTTTGGCTTTGTGTTTATATATGAACACCTGTGAACAATATATCTAAAAATTCATTAATTTAGTCATTGGTTGAATGAACATTTATTGACTCCCTTCTGAACACCAGACACTGTACTAAATGCTTTACATATTTCATCTTCGTAATTAACCCTGGGAGCTGTGTATTATTCTCCCTGCTTACAGTGAGGAAATAGAATCTCAGAGAGATTACACAGGTGTGAGTGGTGTAACTGCATTTAGAACCCAGGTCTCCCTGATTACAGAGGGCCGAGTGTGCTCTTTTTTACACCTAGTGGTTCGCAGCCTGTGTGCTTTGCACCTGTGGAATTTTAGCATAGGATCCATACAACCACAAGTTCATGAGTCTCTTTTCAATCAAGTTGTGCTGAAGGTGCAATACCGTGTGGAGCGCCTTGTAATACAAAAAGTTGAAGACATCTCCCCACCTTTCCAACATCAACCATTTGGACAATAGGTAGGAGTTCCTAATTTTTGATGACTCTTAAATTAGGAATGAAACTACCACCTTTGCCGGAGTCAGGGTGATTCTTCTGCCTTTGGTTCTGGCTATATATAGGCTGCTTTCCAAGGAAAGAAAATGAGCTGCTGTGTCAAATGAGTGGGTACCCAAGGAACCCTTCAAGAACTCCTGACTGGGCATAGAAGTTAAGATGGCATTTAAAGACATCGTTAATGTGAGGTGGAAGGTGGAAGGCCGAGTCAGGAGTTGCTGAAGTAGACAGATTCCAGCTCCAAAGCTGTGGGACTCTGGGTAGGGCAGTATTTCTTAACTTTGGCTGCACATCCCAGTCGTCTGTGGTGCCTCTTCAAAAATACATAGCCCCGTGCCCCATTCTAGACCTACTGAGTGAGGCTCTTTGACTGCGGGACCCACATGTATGTGGAGTTGAAAAGCTCCCCCAGGTCATCCTGAGGCCCAGCTTGCCTCTGGCTGATACTGGCTGATTGGCTGCTTCACCAGCCTTGGTAAGGCCCCCTTAGGTTAAGGATCGCCGTCCTAGGCACACCCTTGAAAGTTACAACTTCAACTTTTTTTTTTTTTTTTTTTTTTACAACTTCAACTTCTGATCACAGGTGCTGGGGTTGATAAATGAAGCAAGGCTTGGGATCATCAGAGCTCACGAGGGCATTTTCAATCCCTTCTTTCCCTAATTGTTCACTGAAGTTACGGGCTTTCTTGTCAGAAGCCCATCTCTGTAAACTGCTGATAACATACTCATGATTCCCTTGTCCTGAATGATAGTTGTAGAAGAGTAGTTTTCCAGTAGTTTAATCATCCACTGATTCATTTCATACCTTTCTGTAATCCTGTACATATGCCACCAGTGGCACAAGAGAAGAGCCGCTACTCTGAGGCTCACCCCAGACCCTTGCTGTGGCCTGTAAGGGGCTGGTGTGAGCTGGCTCCCTCCTCAGCTCACACCAGCCCCTTCTTCACTAGCTGGGTTGAAGACACCCCTGTCATCTTCTGGTCCTTGAATATGCTAACCTCATGCTTCCTGTGCCCTCAGATTTTTTGGTGGATTCTCTCTAACTACTTGGGTCTCAGCTCAGATGTCTCCTCAGAGAGATGTTTCCTCATCAGTTTCTATTGTGTTACCTATTTTATTTTCATCATAGCATTTATCAGTCTCAATTGATTTTATTTACTTACTTATTGTTTGTCCCCTCCACTCTAATGTCAGCTCCATGAGAGCAGATGTCTGCCTATCTTGTTTGCCATTGAGCGCCCAGCATCTGGGACTGTGCCTGGCTCGTAACAGGTGCTCACTAAGGATTAGAGGGCAGGAACGCTTTGGGTTCTACACCTTTGCCCACACTTCCTGTAGGGCAGGGCCGAGCTGAGCTTGTGCAGGTATCTGTTACTGCTAGTAGCTTAGAACTGTAGCAGTTTTCTGGAGCAAAGCTAAACATGCTTGAACCTTGTGATTTTTCTAAGACTGTCCTGCTGCAGCGTTCCCACAGAGCTTTTTCTTGCCCACATGTTGTCGGTTAGAATAACTGTTTGGAAATATATGTCCATAAGGCTCAATTACAGGGTAAATGATCCCTTTGGATTAGAGTTAATTTGATAGCCTCTCAAGTGATGGGATTTTTGTCTTCTGGGAAAGAGCTATATCCTCAGATCCTGGGCAGTAAAGGACATCTTGAATTTGGAAGAATTTAGCCCCATTTACCACTCCTGTCTCTCCCCTTGCTAAAGAAATACTGTAGTCTGGGTACAGACCAACTCATGGCCTGACTTTTGGACTGTCAGAGACATAAGTGAGGCCTGCTTGGAGAGTGTGATGCTGTGTGTTTTATAAAGTTTCGGAGAGTTTCAGGACCCCACGTGGGTTAGAGGGGTCTTCCTAGTGGACCCCTTTGAGAATCTGATGATAGCAGCAGACCCTCTCCTTAGAAAATGTACAAACACCTGTGCATATAGTTTTGCCTGTAGTTTTGAGGGGTATGAAGACTTGCGAAGTGCCTTCCATGGACCCTAAAATTCTGTTTGGGGATTTAGATTGGTTTGCTCATCCACCACAGCTGGGTCATAGCTCTTCCATGGCTGTTTCTTTCTGACTTGGTCTCCTGTCTTCTGTGCCCTCTCTTGTTTTTATAATAACCTGCTGGACCCTCTCAGGCCCAGAAGAGACGATATTCTCCCGGAGTCCAGGTACTCAGTTCTTGACCCACCATGGCCATCCCGTACTCCCTATGTGTCCATCCAACATTTGCTACTGTTTAGAATCCGTGTGGCTGTTGTCTCAGGAGTCACCAGTCTCTGATTTTGACTGCATCTTTACCTTGCATGTTGATTGTTTAGGACAATGAGGGACTCACCAAAGAAGTGGCATGTCTCATGTTTCCTGTCCTTTCATCCCCCTGCCTCTCTGCACTGCCTTAGCACTGGGCTTGTTCTGGAATGGTTAGCTCATTATTTCTAGGGAAGAATTTGCTCCACGAGTCTATTGGAGAGAGAGGACCTCTGAAGTAGGTGGGAAAATGGGTGGCATATGAGGAAACTTTCAGTGGGAGAACCTTGCCCTGAGTATTAGTGGGAGAAGTTATGTGTGGTGAAGCTTAAATGGGCTGGGTGGTCTTTTGACTAAGAATAGTCATCTGTGGCCGGAGAACACCACCTTGCAGCCTGGTTCTGGCACTGCCCTTTCTGAGTCCTGACCCATTTAACATCATATGCTTATAGAATTTTAGAATTTGAAAGGTGCTATCCTGAATGGAAAGATTTCCCTGATTGAACAGGTATTTTCAGAATACCTCTGTGTGCAAAATACTTGCCCTGGGGGGGAAGGGATGGAGCTAAGGTGGACACATGCAGAGAGGCATAATAAATGATTTTTCTCTTCAAGAAGTTTACATGACCATTACACACACACACACACACACACGAAGAAAAACAACAGTCTTGTGTAGACTATAAGTGCCAAATGGCGATCTTTGGGAGGATTCCAGTCAGACTCCAGAGTGTCAGAGGGGCCATTCCAGATCCACCCCAAATGGGTGCAAGGAGGATTCCTGAAGGCAGGTAGAGAGGTCAGTCACCTCTGGGCCATGTCCCTCGAGTGACCATCTCAGTGTGGATTCTTGGGGGCTGCTAGTGATGCGACAGAGTGGTTGTCTGGTCTGCTGTGAGGACCTCAGCTTTATGTGCAGAATTCCTGATGCTGTTTGCACAGGTGTTCCTAAGAGTACTTCCTCACCGTTCTCTGCTTTTCCTTCCCTGCTTTCCCAGCGGGTTTTCCCCTACATCTCAGCCATGGTGAACAATGGCTCCCTCAGCTATGATCACGAGCGGGACGGGCGGCCTACAGAGCTGGGGGGCTGTACGGCCATTGTCCGCAATCTCCATTATGACACCTTCCTTGTGATTCGCTATGTCAAGAGGCATTTGACGGTGAGTCCCTGTTCTGGACCTGTTGGCGATATGGGCTGTCTCGCTCCCACTTCCATGGCCTGGCCCTGATTTATCACTTTTTTATTTTTATTTTTTTGCGGTACGTCGGCCTCTCACTGTTGCGGGCCTAGCCGCTCTGTGGCATGTGGGATCTTCGCGGACCGGGGCACGAACCCGTGTCCCCTGCATCGGCAGGCGGACTCTCAACCACTGCGCCACCAGGGAAGCCCTATCTCTTCTTTTTATTCTAGATAATGATGGACATCGATGGCAAGCATGAGTGGAGGGACTGCATAGAGGTGCCCGGTGTCCGTCTGCCCCGGGGCTACTACTTCGGCACCTCCTCCATCACTGGGGATCTCTCAGGTACTGCCATGTGCGTTCCTTACTTGCCCTAACTGAGATCACATCTCAATAGGCAGCCTGGGTGAGGCTTCTCAGAGGGGAGAGCCAGCCATGCAGAACTCTGGCAAACAAGTGCCCTGTGAGCGCTTATCTTCCTGCATTCTCGTGTTGAGATCCCTTAAAAGCCCAGGCCGGCGGTTATCTAGCACAGTTGTCTTCGGGAGATGTTTGGTGCTAATGGAAAGCAGTGTTTGCCTCTACATCAAGCCAGCTCTTCCAGCCTGTGTTTTGAGTTCTGTGCTTTCCTATTTCTTGTGCCTCTTTTTATAGCCAGGTTCCTGTCCTTTCACCTAATGTGCTTAGTTCCCTTTCTCTTAACAAAGCTTTTCCTTGACTCTGCCCTCCCTCTTCCGACCCCCAGACTCTCCTTTGTGCTCAGACTTTTGAATGTGTTGTGTGTGCAGATGCTTGCGTTTCTAAGACATCCACCTCTGTAGATTTACCCCCATGGTAAATGCTGCACTCAGGCCTGTGTCTCTGCCATGCTATTAGCACAAGTAGTTTTGCAAAAGCTCTTCTGTTTCTTCGCTGTTCTGTGTGCTTGCTGTTGGTCCTCTCTTCAGCTTGTTTGACCAATTGCTCTGAAACCCCTGCCTTCCTTGACTTATGTGGCGTTAGCAGTACCGGGCTTTTCTACTGTTCTCTCTCCTCTGGATTTTCTTCCTACTTGTTTCCGATTAGAAGCTTCTTTTATGTGCTTATTCTCTCCCTTGGCTTTAGCATCAATCATAACATCTTTTCAGAAGAGGTAAAGAATTAAACTTTTGGTTCTTTTGATATAATGTATTATGAGTGAAGCTAGGATGAAGTAGAACTTTCTTCTGGCAAGAAAGAAAGGCAAATACCCATCTGAAATGGGCAGCATCCACTCAGTTTCAGCCGTTGTTGCCAATAGAAAATGTGGGCTCAATGAGGCCATGTCTTCTAGTTTTTCAAGAGAAGCTGGAAATCTGGATTTTTTTAATGAAATCTGATTTTGTAAATCCTGGCAACTAATTTTTTTTAAAAAATCAACCTTATTGAGATATGCTTTCCACATAACAGAAGCATATAGTGTGAAGAGATTTGACAAATATTTACATATTATAACCACCATCCCAGTCAAGATACAGAATGTTTCCATCAGGGAAAAGTTCTCTTGTGCCCCTTTGCAGGATTCCTCCCTTATCTTGCCTCCAGGCAACCATTGATCTGCTTCCTGTCACTTATAAGAGATTAATTTTGGCAGCCAGTTCTAAATACTGTGCAGGTAGGCCAGAACTGTGGGACATCTTACCTTGGCACAGGTAAGGGGAGGCACAGGCTGGAGATCTTTGCTATGGAATCTTGTTATATGACTCAAGTTGAAAGAGGTATCCCTGTCCACAAGTTTCCTGTGAGCTTGCAGGCTTCTGGGACCTGCTCAGTTAACCTCCTGTTGTACTTGTCAGTGGGAAGTTGTTCCCAACTGTTGGAAATGGCCAAAGAGTAATTTTTTGTTTATCCTAAGGAGTCCTTTGTTCTAAGTTCTTGGCAATAATGCCTAGGTTAGGACATCCATGTTCTCCACCTGTAGGATACCCCTAAATACAAATTGCGTCTTTCTATTAAGGTCTTTCTTGTTAACATCTTAACTTGTTTTGCTGTGGATTATTGGAAACTGCTGAGAAAGGACACATGACAGCTGTCCCAGCCTTTGATGCCCCTACATTGTGAGGAGCATCACTGTGGTTCTTTATCCTGTCCCATGGTTTAATCTCAGTCCTGGCAGAGAAAACATTTTTTCTAATTGAAGGTAAATCCAGTTTTTTTACCTGGGGGTCTGCTAAAGATTCTGAGAGTCCAAGCAGCTATAAATGCCATCCTAATAATAGAGATGGCAAGAAATCCGGTCTGCAAAAAACAACCTAGTAGCAGTGAGCACCCCTAGCACCCATATTTGTGGTCTCTTAGTACAAATACCAATACTAACGGGAACAGGAGCTTCTTGGGGAAATGGCTAATGCCGGGTCTAAGGTAGGAAATACAGGCTGAAAACTTCCTAGAAAAGCAAGGAAGATACCAAAAACTTCTGGGTTCGTGTAAAAGGACTTGGGAGCCAACTTCAGTAGGCTCCCACTGGATAAACTTGGGTTGGGTTGAGCTTCAGTAAGAGATACAACTTCAGTGTATTGAGACGCGTCAAGTATGTTTGACTGTCTGAATTTATAACGTTACTTTAAAAAAGGAGAGAAAAAATTGAGTCCCTAACTTCTTCATCCTTCTCTGGTAATTAATAGTGAGATTCAGGGTCACAGTTACTGCAAAGAATTAGGCACAGTCCAGAAGGGAAGTGTGTTCCAGGCCAATAGCTGTGCCCTGCTCATGGCCCGTTAAACAGCTGCTGTGAGGCCCTCTCCTGTCTTGCTTGTGTGTGTTGTCCATGTTAAAGGGAAGCTGTGGGGCTACTGTGTCTCCTTTCACTAGAAGGTTTTACGTGTGATTGGGGGTTAGTTCTTGTATCGTCTCTAAATTTTATTTTATTTTTATTTATTTATTTTTATAACATTGACTTTCCTTTTTTTATATATTTTATTTATTTATTTATTTATGGCTGCGTCGGGTCTTAGTTGTGGCTCGCGGGATCTTCATTGCAGCATGCAGGATCTTTCGTTGTGGCACGCGGGCTTCTCTCTCTCTAGTTGTGGCGTGCGGGTTTTCTCTCTAGTTGTGCGCGGGCTCCAGGGCGTGTGAGCTCTGCAGTTGTGGCACCGCAGCTCCAGAGCACGTGGGCTCTGTAGTTTGCAGCACGCCGGCTCTCTACTTGAGGTGCCGTGGGCTAGTTGCCCCGAGGCATGCGGGATTGTAGTTCCCCGACCAGGGATCGAACTCGCGTCCCCTGCATTGGAAGGCGGATTCTTTACCACTGGACCACCAGGGAAGTCCCTCTCTAAATTTTAAAATTATATAGGTAATGCATGCTTGTTGATAAAAAGTATAAATGCAGGATAATGTAGAATATTCCCTGTTCTTTGTCCTTATTTTTAGATGAGAAACAAGTTTCAGTTATTTTTTTTCAGGTCACTTTGTTAGCTGTGGATTAGAAGCTTGAACCAAGACATTCTGTTCAGGGTGGCTTGAGTAATCCTTGTTCTCTTTTTCTTTAGACAACCATGATGTCATTTCCCTGAAGCTGTTTGAGCTGACGGTGGAGAGAACCCCAGAAGAGGAGAAGCTGCATCGAGATGTGTTCCTGCCCTCGGTGGACAACATGAAACTGCCCGAGAGTGAGCACGGGGGATCCTGGGGAAAGGCCCCATGGCCAGTGAGGAGGCTGAGGGCTGTGGGGGTCTGGGGTGACATGCAGTACAGCTGGGCGGGGCTGCCTGTTTTCGGGGTTCTTCTCCGAAGCACTTGGAGCACTTGCCCCTGCTTTCTCGCTTGTCTCTGTGTTACAGATGAGCAGACTGTGGGCTGTTAGGTTTTAAATTGCGGCATCTGGAAAGGGAGAGTCTGAGCTCTAGCTCCCAGAAATGGGGACTCGATAGCTTGTTGGTTGGCCCTTCCCACCGGGCGGGCTTCCTCATTCTGACTTGCTTCTCTCTTGCTTTCTTAGTGACAGCCCCGCTGCCGCCCCTGAGTGGCCTGGCCCTGTTTCTCATCGTCTTTTTCTCTTTGGTGTTTTCCGTATTTGCCATTGTCATTGGGCTCATACTCTACAACAAATGGCAGGACCAGAGCCGAAAGCGCTTCTACTGAGCCCTCCTGCGATCACGACCTCTGTGACTGTCACCCAGGAGTATGGGAGGAGCAGGCACTGGCCTGAGCACATAGCCAGGCGGGTCTTCTCTCGTCTCCAGCAGCTGGTCAAGGACTCGGTTCTGTCACTGGAGCTTTGAGTGCAGGGACGCTGCGTTCCCATGGTCACCCATGAGGACGTCTAACTCTGGATCAGGAAGCCCACCCCCCTGGGCAATGCTGCTGTGATGTGCCTTTCCCCGCAGTCCTGCCACTTGGGAGCGAAGAGGGATGGAGAGAACATAGGCTGTCATGATGCCAAAACCACCCGAAAGAGTGTCATAGCCCAGGCTGCCTTGTTGTTGGGCTCAGAGGACCCTCGTACTTCATTCTTAAATCTGCAAAGACTAGAAAACTGATAACTCCTCATACCTTCCAGCCATCTGTCCACTGGTTTTTGCTTTTTGTCTAAGCCTCTCTCCACCTGAGGAGCTTTCCTTGGAAATCTGGATGGAAACTTCTTCCCTGCCTTGCCTTCCTCCCCTCCATTCATTGTCCTCTGCAGATGCAACCTGAGCTGGAAAAGACATCTGGCTGCCTCTCTCTTGGGGCCTGGGGCTACACAACAAACTTGAGTTTCACTGACCCTCATTAGGTGGCCGTAGGGAGGGGGCATTCTGCTGGGGCTCACGGCTCTAGCCTTTGTTCTTGCGGGTGATCTTGGTTCTGTTGGTGTGGTCATGACCCTCCCAATTAGGTCCCTTTAGGCCCTCAGCCAGGTTTGGCTGAAAGCTGGTGTGCAGGTCAAGAGAAGCTTGGGAGACGTCACGGATGCAGTGGGACTAACTGTGAAACTGACTGCTCCACTTTTTGACACCGAAAGCAACACCTGTCACATGATCTGACCACGTGGAGATGTTTCTGGACTCTCTGGAGCCTGCTTAGCTGCATGTCTTGTGTTCATCATAATTTTTGGAAGCCTACTTAGAGTGTTCAAAATGTAAGGAAACTTTGTTCTTATAGCCTGAGCTTGGATACTGCCCAAAGAGGAAACCTGGCTTCTCTTTCTTAATGGATAAGGAATGGTTGTTGTAAATCTGGAAGCAGTAGACCCCCGGCATCTGTGCCTGGAAGAGTTCATTGTCATTTGAGCAGCCGAGCCTGAGTGTCCTCTGTGGGTCAGCCCTGATTCCACTGCCTTACCTGATGAGGGGTCACGTGCTGCTCACCTGTCTGCCCTGTGATTCCATCGCTAACAGGCCGGAGGCTCCCTGGAGGGCTTGGACTCTGAGCTCTCCTAGCTCTGTGCTTCTGTAGCCTGAGGGAAAGTCTTAACATGGCTGATGGAAACCAAACGTGAACTTCTGAGTGGCCTTCCTTTTACGGGTGGGTTTGGCTGAGCCGTAAGCCATCCACGCTTGCCCTGCCTTCTGGGTTGGGAAAGCCCTCTGCTCAGCCCTGAAGGAGAGGAGGGTTACCTTGCCTGGCTGTGGGTTTCTGTTGTCCTCAGCTTTCTTGTATCCTTCCCATAGGCGGTAGTGCTCTCGTGCAGGTGGGATGACAGTGGGACCCTCCTGACCTCCCCCCATGGCAGAGCGGCTCCAGAGTGACAGAGGGTCAGCTGGGGCCCCGGGCTTGGCTTTCGGACCAGGTGGAACTGAGAAAGCAAATGGCTGTTCTGTGTTTTTGAGTTCCGGGGGAGATTGGCTAGACCCCTGCAGTGGGAGGACACCGGTGGGCTCGTGAGCTGGCCGGGGCAGGGGTGCAGGAGGGGCAGCTCAGCGTGGAGATCGTCACACTTGTGGCTTTTGTGTGATTCTAGCTTATGAGGTCCTTGAGGCTCTGTGAAGAGGGTGGGGAAGACGTGAAATGCAGCCCCCCCACCCGGGCCAGCTGCAGAGCAGTGTGTGGTGCAAGGAAACAGTCTGACTAGCGTGGTAGGTTCTGCTCTGGCTCTCCCCTTTTGTTCTAGAAACATGCTTCCCGTCATGAGTGGGGCCGAAGGTCGTTCTGGGCGCTGGAGTCCCAGCTGTGTCCCAGAGGAGGGGGCCACCTGGTCACGTGAGGGGTGAGAGCGGTGGCCTCGGCCGGCTGCTTACCCCGCGTGAGCCACCTTTCCTCACAGGTGCCCTTCCTTGCCTTCTGTTTTCCTGTGATGTCAGGGCCTCTTAGAGTGGAAGAGTCCCTGGAGACTCGAGGAGGTGCGTAAGGGTGACATCATCCCCATCCTTGTGAGTCTTGTCTGAGAGCCTGGCGTTTTCAGCCTTTCATGGTGTTGTGAACCCCCCCCCCCACAAATTACAGGGTGGCTCCATTACAAAAGTTGTTTATTTCAGTGGAAAATTACAACTCTGCCCTTCTTGTTGGAAGTGGTCTGAACAGAACGGCCAGAATATCCCGAGACCCCGGAAACAAGGAACTGGTAGGAAGCCCAAGGGTAGTGCTGTGGATGAGCAGGAGAAAAGCCTGGCAGACACGGGGGGAATTAGTCTGGTGGGGCTGGAAGTTCTGGGAAAATAGCTCACAGGTGATTTATGTGTCCCTGGAGGAGTTTCAGCTTATGGCCTGTTGTAGATTTCAGGTTCTGATGGGAGTGGTGAAGTTGGAAGAGTTGGCGTTGCTGGTGTTTAGTGAATTGATGATATTGGCGTATATTTGAATGGGAGCGCTCAGCCGAAGTTCAGGCTTGACCCAGCTCATGGCCAAATAGTTCTAGAGAGAATAGATAAGAGTTCGCCTGAAGTAGCAACCTGAGGGCTCTCTCTTGGGTCATCCCGAGAGCAGCTGTGCCTTTTCCCCTGTCTCCAAGGTTGTCACTCACCGGAGCTGAATAGATAAAGTTGAACAGCAGAAGCCCTATAAGCAGGATGATTGAGATGGCTATGATTTTGAAGCGGTAGCGTTTCCAGAAAACATGGATGAACCTTGTAACGGGTGACCGAAACCACATGAGCAAGGTATGGGTGCGTCTGTCCAGGAGCAGAGATGGCAGAGAATGGAGGGCAGAGGGAAACTTCAGGTCAAGCAATCCAGAGCAAAGGTCTTTCATTTTAAAAAAGCAACTTCTGCTTCTGCCCTCCCCCGTCCCCAGCTGTTCTCCCCGATTGAGCCGGAGTGGGGAGGTGGGGGGCGGTAATTATCCCTCTTTACTTGTCAGCCTCCTTCCCTGGTCACCACCCCATACAGACTGCTAGGCCCCGCAGCTCAGCTTTGTGATCGAGGAAGAGGCTTGGTGCCTTTGCCCTGCAGGACCCTTACAGGGGAGGATGGAGTGTAGGGTATTGGTTGGGTTCCGACTGGCCTCTTCCTGCTGCCTTGATTAAGGCTTCCTTCTCTGTCAAAATCTCCAGGGTCATCTTCACTTTACCCTAGAAACACCATGGGTGGTGGGAGCTGAGCTCAGACGGCAGGAGCAAGGATAGTTTTAAAGGCCTCTTCCCAGGGTCCAGAAAGGGAAAGGGATTTAGCTCAGGCCCCCAGGGTCTGTCAGAGCCAAGTTACGCGGCACAGTAGTCAGCCCTGTCCTAGGCAATAGGCACCTTCCCCAGCGCCTACCGACAAGCGCCATTTGCCGCCATCGAGGACCTGGCAAGGCCACCAGCCGCTTACAGTCTTCATCTTAAAGAGGGAGCAGTGCTTGTACTGGAGGAAGTGAGGCCGCTTGGGGTCAGCATCCATCATCCTGATGGAGCATAGCTTGGCGTGCCGGGCCGGGAGGGGCATGTCAGACAAATCCAGCTCCAGGACCCCTGAGCCCAGAGAAATGCCGTCAGCAAAAAGGAGCTCCCTGTCCTGTGGTCACGGGCCCTGTGCCAGGATCTCACCCAGGAAGTCATCCGCGGAGATGATGTTATTGTCCCAGATCTGGATGATGAGCCGGGCTGGGAACTTCATCACCGTGGGGTCCAGGCTCCATATGTAGTCCTGGAGGATGGCAGGAGAGCATATTTCCGGCCTGTCTCCTCTGAGAGTTCCTTTGGCCACTTAGCAGCCCATCACCCAGCAGTGATGGACCATTGAGGAGGAGGAGAAAGTTGGGGAGGGGGAGCGGGGAGTGGTTCCACCCAAGGCCACATTCCAAGTGTCTTGGTGCAGCTCGCAGGCTCTGAGGGGAGAGGTAGGAGTGCATCCCGCTCCTGGGCCTGTTACCTTCTGACTCAAGACGCACGCTTGCTCTGTTGCCAGGTAGTCCAAGGTGAAGATGAACCGCCAATTGAAGATGCCCTCCCCCGTCAGGGAGTGGTAGTGGACATCTGTCTTCTGCATGTCCTTCTCCAGCCCGAATAACCACCTGGGGCCAAAGTCCACTCACCTGGGGTTCACTCGGATTGTCCCCACCCCTAGCTGGAGCCCTGGGAGGAGGGCTGCCCAGTAGACGCCAGGCACGGGTGGAAATGGAGAGACAGAACTGGGCAAGTCTGAGGGCACTCTGACGGAGCCCCGCTCCTCTCCCTCACCCTTTGACGTAGATGTCGCTCATCCTCTCGGTACTTAAACTGTTTTCCTTCAGGTCCATGTGGGCAGTTTTCCAGATAATGCAGCGCAGCTCATACCTGTAGCCACTGTTCTCTGAGGCTTTGCTGAGGAATAGCTCCCCAGCTGCAACCTCGGTGAGGGAAGAGAGGCCTGGGAGGCTGCCCTCCGTGCCCACCCAAGTCGTGCTGCGTTTGGGGGACCACAGGGAAAGGAGGCCCCCCAGTTTCCCAACAGAGGAAAAGAATCACCGTGACTCAGTGTTGGAGCCCACTGGTGCTCCACACGCTGGGAAGGCCACACCGAGTGGTGCAGTTGCTCGGGAGATGGGTGTCACTCACCTCCTAGGCTTTCTGGGCCCAATGTTGAATGGGGGGCCAGGAGGACCAAGCTTCTTGGGGAAGATGTCCACCCACATTTGCACCTTTCCCTAGAGTGGAGATGGATTCGCTGGCTGGGGTTGGCCAGCCCCCGTTCTCCGCATCCTGGTCTGGGGGGGGCCCTGTCTCAGCTTCTAGGTCTGCTGAGGCTGTGTTTCCAACACCGAGTGGTGGGGTATCGAGGCATCTGGGAGGTGGGATGGACTTCAGACCGGAAGTCAGCACACCGCCCCTCAGCTTCCACTTGTTTCTTTTTTTGCCTGGGAGAATAGTGCAGTAAGGCTGGGAGCATAGGATGGCTACGAGGCTGATGGCTGTGGCGCACGGATGTCAAGTGTAACCGGGGTCTGGAGGGTTGATGCCATTTAACAGGTCCTGCTGGACAGCCTCTCTGGATGGCGCTCCAGAATGGGATTGGGGCTGCAATTATTAGCCACCTTAGTGGCCCTGAGTAAGAGTAAACTAGGTGATCTCCAGGTCATTTTATGTTGTGGAACCACATCCTAAGGATGTCAAGCTATCCACAAAGCACAGGGGTCTAGGAAAGAAGGGTTGAAGCTGGTGAGAAAAGGGGAGACAAAAGAGTTAAGAGGGTAGGACTACCAACAGTGGAAGACAGATTCCTTTAAACCATGTGACCTAGGTTTATTCTTTTGAAATTGGCCCGATTTAATGAGAAAACAGGTTTAATGAGGATGGTTTTAAAAAGTGCTCAGTAGAGAACTTTGTATCTAGAATGTGCTATCAGCTTGAGAGATTTGGAGAATGAGGTGAGCCATTCTGGTGGCTGGAGGGTAGGGGATAATTAGGGTGCCTGTGGGGATTTTTATTCCTCCTGTTAGGGGTTCCTTGCCGTGGAGAAAACACAGCCTGCACTTAACAGCCAAGCCGGGGCTGTGATGCCTGCACTCTGACCCCAGGTGCTGCCTCCTTAACCCTCCCTCAGGAGAGACTAAGGCAGTGCTGGCACCGGCGGGGAAGGCCCCGAAACACTTCCACAGCTGACACGGGGCCTCGGTTTCTTGTTGGTGACTTTTCCAGCTCTGAACTTCTCCATTCTAAGAGACACCACTGCGACTTCTTGCTTATTAACATGCACAGAACGTGCTTGTCTTCTTTTCACGTACATCTGTGGGTGCCCGGCCTCTCCTTCCCCTCTTGTCCTGGATGGGTGGGCTTCCCCACCTCCTGATCCAGCCCCTCCAGTCTCATACCTGGTCGATGCCCGGCTGGCTGTCGCTGTACAGCGTGCGGGTCTCCACGTGCTCAGGTACCAGTCCCTGGGTGTGCAGGAGGTACAGCGCAAGGCGTTCTTTCTTAGATCCCAGAAAGCGAGCAGTAGGGGGCTTCAGCTCTAGATTGGAGGGGGATGGAAGGAGGGGATCACGAGGTCATTAGCCTTCCCGTCTCCCACGTAGGCCCCTTCTCCACCCTCAGCCTGGGCAGTGGACTTGGTTATCCGTTACAGGCGAGAAGGGGAGGCGGGCAGCTCCTCCATCCTGTAGCCCCACTTGTCGCAGAGGCCCAGCTCTGTGCTTTCTGGCAGTGTGCTGTGCTTCTCACCAAAGCTTTGCAGTCTGAATTTTTTCCCATTGTAAAACACAGAGTCATCCTCAGGGCTGAACAGAGGCGGAGGCAGTCCTTTCTGCCTGGCATGGCGTTCCAAGAGCAGGCTTGGGGGCATCTGATCCCGCCACCTAAAGGGCCCTGACCTGTGGGGAAAAGGTGGGGAGATCTGAGTCCTGGAGAAGCCTCTGCTTCGAGCTGCAGGCTGACCAGTGCTGGGAGCAGGGGTGCAGACAGGTGCGGGCCCTGGTTCCCCAGCCTGGGATGCAGGCGTCTTCGAGGGGAGCCGTGGGCTTACTCTTCCACCACCACCCCCCCCACCCCGTGCTCCCTTGCCCTGGTTCAGGTCCACGCTTACTGGCAGTAGGATTTGGAGAGCCCACAACGAGCTCCAAAGCCAGACAGGAGTCGGTTTTCAAGGTCAATGACTGTGGTTCCAATCTTATCATCGGGTGAAAATAGGTCAAAGTCATACAGCTGGATCTCTAGGTCCTTCTCCAGGGGGATGGTGCAGCTCATTTCAAACATCCTTGGGTGAGGGTGTTGGAGACACAGAGACCGAGGACCATGTTATCTACACAGCTCCCTCTCCAGCATCCCAACCACACGTGCCCGTGCTCTACCCCCTGTTTGGCCCTGGTGAATTTGGAGAGCAGAGCCTGGGATGGCTCTTGTCCGCCAATAGCCATCCCTCAGTCGTGGCTGGGAGTGACTTTGGACAGGCCTGGGGTGTGGGACTCTGAGCTCCCTTCCCAGGCAAAGTGGTTGAGGGGGGAGGGGAGAGCTGGGCTGCCCATCAATGCATCTTCTGTCTGTTGGACACTGTGCTAGGAACGTGGAGGCTAGAAAGGAACGTGAGAGTTCTCTGCCTTCTAGAACTGCTCCCGGCACAGGGAGCGGGGACGTGGGGTCGGGTGCGTTGGGGCATCTCACACGCCAAAGATGGGGTCCAGAGTGTTGGGCTGGTACTTGTCCCGGTTGCCAAGCTTTGTCTTTCCCAGTTTCAGGATCACATAAGGGTCACACTGGGGTTCAGATAGACGTGAGAGAAGGACGGGAAATGCAGAGTCAGCCCAGGTTGGTCAGGGAGGGCGGGAGTGGGGCAGAAAGGAGCCCCTTGTACCAGATGGGGCCTGTGGGAAGTTGGCAGTCTGGGTGTCAGCCTGAGGGAGCTCTGGGATGCTGGGGTGTAGGGTGAGGTGAGGGGGGTGCCCGGGCTGGGGGCTGCTCGTTACCAGGCCGTTGGTGTCTTGGGGCTGCAGGTTGGCTGCTCGCACCACGTACACCCGCACCAAGCACTGCTGAGGGAAGTCCTCTTTCTTAGGCCAAGGCAGGAACTGGCGAGGGGGCTTGGGGGTGTCTGGATTCTCAGGAAAGGGGTAGACACGGAATTGGCCCTGTGTGTGTGTTGGGGAGGGAAGGTATTGGCCTCTGGCCTGGCTCTGTAGAGCCCTCCAGGAGGTACCCCTGGTCTGTGTTGAGGGTGGCAGGGATGAAACCCGTGAGGACGGGTAGGGGCATGTGCCGCAGAGATGCTCTACGGGGACCACGGTGGTGTTTTCCGCTGAAGGGAGGTCTCGTTCCACCCCCACCCATCCCTTGGGGTCCGCACTTGTTTTCGAAGGCTCTAGGGCCTCCGAGAGCAGCACAGGCCCGAGCTGGGACTGAGAAGCCCTCGCCCTTCCTGAGTTGGGGGAGGCCACCCTGAGTCCCTGCAGAGGTCAGTCTCTGCCCCCCACTCCCAAGACTGTCAAGCCCTCCGTGCCCCATCCTCATGCCGAGCGTATAGAACCAGCGCTCCTGTCAGAGTCTTCCCTGGACAGAAGGGGCACGAGGTGACAGGTGCAGCTAGGCAGGGCTGGGACACGCACCTTGAACTCCCCTACCACAGGGCTGTCCAGCTTGGGCCTTTCTTGGTAGAGTCTGAAGGTCTGGCAGAAGTCCTGCAGGCCCTGGAAGGCTGGCACGGCCTCCAGCTCGCAGTCGTATACCTGTGGGAGGGCGTGTGGGGCCCGGCTGGCGGGGAGCTGGCCAGGGCTTGGGGGGACCATTCCTAGGACCGGGGTTGAGGGGCCACCCAGGTCTCGCCCCAGAGCATCTGCCCCGGGGTCAGCAGAGCTGCTGCTGGTGGGCAGCCCTGGTTCCTGAAAGGGTGTGGCCTGTGGCGGCGTGGCCAGGAGTCTTGTGAAAAGGAAGCCGCCCCCCGACTTGGTGGTTCCCCAAGGACTCGGGGCTGGGTTTGTTGGCCTCTCCCCGCAGATTTTCTCCATCCTTCATCAGTCTCCCGTCGTAGGGGCCTGCAAACCTTCAGGGTGTGATACTCTTTGTACTTGTACTTTAGGGACAGGGGAGCATCTCCTGTGGCCCAGAACAGCTTGCTCCACCAGTCCACTTCCTGGTCGTGTTCATCCTGGCAGTGAGGAGGAGGGGCATTTTGGCCCTCGGGGAGAAGGCACCGTGGCCTTCCTCTGCCCGGAGTCATGCTGCCCCACCTCCCTGAGCTGCCTGGACTTGTTCCTTATTCCCCGGGGCTGAGCCTACGTCACCTCAGCGTTGCTGGACTTGAACCAGAACTTTTCATAAAGGTAACCTAGGAGCTGAAAAATGATGGCGGTGAGCTAGGCAAGGCCTGGCCGCCCGGTCCGCCCACCGCCTCTGACTTCCGAGCTCAGAAGGGGTTCGAGGCCACGGCTTCCTGCCCTGGCTCCCTTGCCCTTCACAGAGGCTTTTTAATTCAGGGATCCTCAGACATAGGACTGGGGCTGAGAAGGAGGGTCAGGTTAGTTCTCGGTTCTCATTGCCCACAGCTCCACACTTAACCCTGGAAAGGCTCAGACGTTCAGAGCCTCAGGCCCCACCCCAGGCCTCCTGAAGCTGAGTCTGCTTTTGCTCCAGATGCCAAAGGATTCCTGTGCTTTCGAGGTTGACAGGTGCTGCTCTAGAGCAGCAGTTCTGAACTTTGGAAACACTGGAATCACCTGGGGCGGGGGTGGGGCGTAGGTGGTTTGGGCTTGAATAAAATAATTGCTGCTTCTGGTTCCTACCCCCAGCAACTGGTCAGAAACCATTTTGGGGGGGGGGGCGGGCTGTGCAGCACGTGGGGTCTTAGCTCCCCGGCCAGGGATCGAACCCATCCCCCCTGCAGTGGAAGCGCGGAGTCCTAACTACTGGACCGCCAGGGAAGTCCCTCAGGATTTTTAAAACTCTCGGGCATTTCTAATGTGCAGTCCAGGTTGAGATCACTGCTTTCGCGTTTCCGTGAACAAGTAGGCCTCACGCTGGGGGCGCGGATATCGGAACTCTGTTTAATCTGTACCCTCCTCAGACACGAGGGCTGTTTCCTCTAAATGGCATGGGGCCTCCAGCCCTTTACTCACCTCCTGGTACTTCTTCACAGACAGCACTGCGTGGAGAAAGCGCAGTCATGAGTCTCAGGAGAAGGGAGAAGTGGGGGGGAGGGGAGGGCCACCAACCCAGCAGGACAGCCAGGGCCTTGGCCACTCCCAGTGCCAGCGTGTTGGTGAGGTCTGGGAAGGGGCAAGGAGAAAGGGCCGTACTTGGAGGCCGTGGGGGCATGTAGTCCTGAGCCCACGGGTCACAGAAGTAGGGCTGTAGGGAGTCAACGTTGGCCTGACCCACCACGGTCTCCTGGCCGAAGTCCTGGTTGTCCACCACCTTCAGCACCAGGGGCAGCGCGAAGGCCTCATCCGTAGGCATGTACTGCAGCCCCAGGGAGAGGCCAGGGCGTGAGGCTTCCCACGAGCCGGGGCTGCCCCAGCCCTGGCCCAAGGCCTTCTCACCAGTGTGAGGAAGAGGGTTGACTGGGTGAAGTTGGGATTGGTCTGGAAGTCCCTGATGGGCTCTGTCTGCACGGACTCTTCCCAGCATTCCACCAGGAGCCGGGGCGAACGCACCTGCTTCATGTTCCGAAGGCCCCAGACCAGCATCTGCCGGAACAGAGAGGGAGGGTGGGGGGAGGGGCAGGCGGCCCCTCTGATGGGGTCCTGGCCTGGGAGCAGTGGGGCCCCAGGGGGCCTGCATGGCCAGGGCACGAGGCTGGGTGAAGGCAGAGTCCGAAGGCCCACCCAGTCCTCCTGTCCTGTGAGGGGTGAGTCCTCCAGGCCTGGACGCTGTCGTCGCTCCTCCACGAGGGAGGTGCCCATTAGGTATTGCCCTTCCTCCCCCGCTGCCCATCTGGCCTCTAATCATCTCTCTCAGGGGTTACCTCCCGCTGCCGGCTGCCCCCCAGGCCCGCAGCAGCTGGAGTGCCCCGGGGTTCTTGGGCACCTCGGTGCCGTCCAGCTCGTGGCTGACCTGGATCCCACAGAACTCCACGGCCAGTCAGCGAGCCAGCACCCGGGGATCTCGCTCTCAACGGACAAACACTGGGTACCCCAGGAGCTGTCCACACCCTACTCATTGGGCCGCCTCAGGGCCAGAGTGGAAACCAGCCAGGTGGTCTGATCTTGGCTCCAGTGAGGGGAGGACCTGACCATCTTCCGCTCTTTGCCGCAGGGCACGTAGGTTCTGACCTGGGCGCCTCCATGCTACTTTCAGAAGAGGTGAGAAACATCCTGGCATTTGGAGTCAGGCAGGGCCGGGCCTAAACCCTGGCGCTGCCACTGAGCCCCTGTGTCACTGTGCGTGGATGTGTTGTCTCTCAGAGCCTGAATTTCCGTCTCTGGAAGGTCGTCCCTACTTTTTGCACAGGGGCCTCATGAGGCTTACATCTGTAGGTAATGGTTGCTAAAGCCCTTTGTCTACGACCCACTGCAGAGGTTTGCATGAAAATACTTTTAAATGTTCTATCAGAACTTCATTTCTCTCCTGTCTCCCTCCATCTCTCACATGGTATCTTCTCGGGGTCCAAGCTTTGGAGCAGGTAGGCAGGAGGCCCAAGGGGGTCAGCAGAGAGCGCACCGTGGTGCTCGACTGCTCTGGGGGTGGCTTGCGCCCTGCCCACCCGCCCTGCTCCACGTGTCGTCACCTCAATAGCCATTTTCCTTAGCGTGGGCTGGATGCTCTTGGGGAGGATGTAGATCCCACTCTTCCAGGGAACACTTAAGAGTGGCAGCTGCTGTCTGAGACTCTGAAGGGATGAGGTTGGAGAGCAGGGAGCCTGAGGCCCTGTTGGGCTGGTCCTACTGTCCCCCGCCCCGCCACACACGCAAGCAGGACCCTAAGAGGCTCAACTGCGGCGGCCCCGGAACCCTATGGGCAGAAGCTGGCAGGGGAGTTAGGGAGAGGTTGGGCAGGCCGGCACCTCCCAGCCCAGTGTTCTGGTTCCCGGGCCCCAGGACTTTGCTGAGGGGCTGCGGTTGGGGGCCACTGGCTGTGGGGACATGTGGCAGGGGAGTGGGGCAGAGTGAGGGCGCTGGGCACCACACTCCCAGCCGGGCCCTCTCTCCCAGCACCTCAGTCTCGAGGATCAGCTCACAGGACGCCAAGATCTCGCCCTCTTCCTCCTCCAACCCTTTTACAAGGGGGTGCCACCTCATGGGGGGCAGGATCCGTTTTTGGACATCCAGCCAGACCACCGGTGACCACATGCTCCGTCCCCACAAGCTCTCATTGCCCTGGAGGGAAGGGGAAGTTCACAAAACATGGAGGCCAGGCTGGCAGGGGTCTGGCTCCTCCTGGGATTCTGACAACTCTAGGATCAATGCGATGTGCTCTGCGAATCAGGTCCCGCTGGAGAACTTTCCGAATATTCTCCTCTAAAATAAAAGCTCCTGGGTTCCCTGGTGGCGCAGTGGTTGAGAGTCCGCCTGCCGATGCAGGGGACGCGGGTTCGTGCCCCCGTCCAGGAAGATCCCACATGCCGTGGAGCGGCTGGGCCCGTGAGCCATGGCCGCTGGGCCTGCGCGTCCGGAGCCTGTGCTCCGCAACGGGAGAGGCCACAACAGTGAGAGGCCCGCGTACCGCAAAAAAATCAAATCAAATAAAAGCTCCTCACGGAATTCCCTGGCGGTTCGGTGGTTAGGACTCTGTGCTTCCACTGCAGTGGGCACAGGTTCAATCCCTGGTCTGGGAACTAAGATCCGGCATGCCGCATGGCACGGCCAAAAAAATACATTAAAAACTTCTCAGAGCTCTGCCCAGCCCAGCCCACCTTACCTGGGGGTCCCGCTGCCACAGTTCCAACACCACGAATGGCGGGCTCTCTTTGGTGTCCTGGGGGTTCTCGTACAGGAGGAGGTGCTGGAAGATGAGCGTCTGGGCCCACGTAGGGGCTGCAGAGCTCTTCAGGGTTTGGGTACACTGGCTGTGGTTCAAGAAGACCAACCGAATGAAGGGCGCTGTGGGTGGAAGGAGAGCTGTGCCTTTGAGCTGCCGAGTGAGGCTCTCCCCTCTTCTGGCTGCTGCCACCACCGGACTGGGTACCCGGGGAGGCTCAGGCCAGACAGCCACAGCCACTCCAGCTCCCCAGAAGGCCACCTCAGAGTAAGCCACAGAGCACATGGGCTTATAGCTAGAGGCCCCTTATACCATCATGGTTGGGGCCTAGCCGTCACAGACGCAGAGGGCCCGGCGGCTCCTCTGGAGGGGTTCTGGGGACCAGGCTACACGTGGCTGCCCTCACACAGCATCAGCAAGTGGCCTTGGCATCAAGGAACATCACACGACCCTCTCGACGAGGGTGCTGATGCCCAGTGGACACAGCTCCCAGCAGACATCCACTGCCCTGGCTCAGACCCTTGTCCAACAGTCTGGCTCCCAACAAACAGGGCCACTGCCAGCCCAAGGCAGGAGCACGTGACTCACCTGAAACCTCCCATGGGGCCTCCACACAGGGCTAGAAATTGCCACCCCTCCTCCCCACCCCTCATCTTCTGTCCAGCACAAGGAACAAGTGGTTCCCAAGCATGTCATCCTCTCTCTCGCCTTTGTGTCTCATCCTCCCTCTTCCTTGTCAAGGGCCAGCAAACTCCTCCTTCCTCTTCAAGGCTCAGCTAAGTGGCCTCCAGTGGGATGAAGCCTCCCTGTCTTGATTCCACAGTGTTGGGGACACACCACAAGAGCGGTCCCACCTTGTATTCCTTGTTCTTGTGTCTCTTCCCCAAACCAGGGCCATGAGCTGCTGGGGGCAGGGGTCTGCATGTGTGTCACCCCCTCCTCGCCACATCCTTTATACTGCTGGGTGGCCACATGGAGGGGCTGGGGGAGAAGAGGTGCCCACGCCTACCCTGGAATGTCTGGATGTGGTTAGACATCAGGTTCCGGGCCTGGTAGATGTAGCAGAAGAGCTGGTAGTAGTGGGGCTCTGGGTAAGAGAGGAGCTGTGTCCGCCACCCGTCCCCAGGATCCCCACCCCATGCCCCCTGCTCCCTGTCCTCAGGTGCTGGGTGTCTCCGGGGCCACCCAAGCCGACTCCCAATTGAATGCTCACTGTTGAAGATGCAGTAGATGAAGGGCAGGTTGGGTGGCTGGGTGATCTCTGGGGGAGCCCTCCAGGAGCTCCTGATTCTGTCCAGTCTCCGTGTCGACGACACCACGTCCGCTTCCCTCTTAGCTTGCTGTTTCATATCTAGACTCTGTGCCCAGGACAGACTCCCTGAGGCTCATAGGTGCCTTTCCTGCCTCCCCCAGCCCAGGCCCAGGTCACCCTTCTCCCCATCCAAAGCCTGAGGATGTGGTTCCGGGGCCCAGGTCCCCCCACCTGCAGTGGTCAGTGCATCTGGCCACACGGGGCGTCTCCGTCTGCCTGGCGCACCAGGGGGCCCTGGCTCCGGAGGTGGGGTTGCAGGGAAGAGACACCTAGCCCACTGGGGCTTTACCAAGGATCCCTCCAGGAGGAATATGGATGCAATGCCCTTGACCTTGTTGGGGGCCAGCCTGCGGTGCCAGCGGCGGCGGCGGAACTGGCTCTGGGGCTGAGGGTTCAGGTGGAACTTGGAACCGAAGATGCCGTACTCCCAGCCTTCCTCGTCCTCAGCCAGGCTGGGGTGGTGCTGCGGGGGGAGCAGAGTCACCCTCTCACCTGGCCAAGGGTGGGTCCCATCCATGGTCCCGCCAGGTCCCTGACCAGGCGGCCCCTCACCAGCTGCAGGAAGGACAGGGTCTCCTGCTCGTGGCTCAGCCTCCCGTGGTCCCGGTAGCGCACGCGCGCCCAGCGCCGGCGGCGGCAGGAGTAGTAGGTCTTCTCCACCGAGTTCCAGACCTGGGGCAGCCCCGAGGGTGGGATGCCCACTCCGTACTCCCAGCCTGAGGGACCAGGATACAGCCCGTGGGTGCCCAGGGGCCCACAGGCTCGGGGGCTCGGACAGGCCTGAGAGATAAGCCCTGGAAGGGCAGGCCGAGGGGTCAGTGCTGTCCCTCACGTCCAGGTCTCTCCGGCCACAAAGGAAGGTGTGGTCACACTGCGTCACCGGTGGCCTGGGCTCAACTGCCCATCTTACAGACAAGGAAGGTGAGGCTCACAGGCGTCCTGGGACCCGCACAAGGTCACACAGCCCGTAAGTAGCAGAGGCTGCATCTTGAGCCCAGGTCTTCCGACTCCCAGCCCACCGCCCCTTCCCTGGAGCCACCTGGGGTGAACCAGGCTCTGGACGCGACCCCAGTTCACGTGCTCGGGAGGCGCTTAGCACCTGCCCTGTCTCAAAGCTGGGGCCCACGTCTGTGGCAAGGGTGGAGGCCCTGCTCTCCGGAGACTGAGGCCCCCCAGGAACGCAGGCCTACCCCACCCGACAGCCTGGCTACTTTCAGTTCCAGGCCCTGCCGCCCTTAGCCGCTGCCCAGAGGACTGACCTTCACTGTCCACCGCGTGGTTCAGCTCCACAGCCCAGTTCTTCTTCACGTGCCAGCCTTGGGGACACTTCACATTCTCCCGGGCCTCCACGGGTTCTCCGTTCTGTGGGTGCACAGAGAGGGTGGGCCAAGGGCCGTGTTGCTCGCCTACTGCAGCCATCGTGGCCTCCAGCCTCCTGGGGCTCCTTAAATTTAAGTTCGTGAAAACTGAAACAAAATTCGGGAATTCCCCTGTGGTCTAGTGGTTAGGGCTCCGCGCTTCCACGGCTGGAGGCCCAGGTTCGATCTCTAGTTGGGGAACTAAGATCCCGCGTGCCGCGCGGTGAAGCCAGAAAAAAAGAAACAAAATTCAAAGTTCAGTTCCTTACTGAACTTTGAATTCTGGGTAAAAGCGCCACCTTCGAAAGGGGGAAGGAAAGGTGCCCACTCTGTCGTCCTTCCAGTCCCATTTAGGGCACCTCTCCCCACCACCTTGGGATACAAACCCCATCAGCGCTCACCCAAGGTCACACCAGGGAGCAGGGCTCAGTTGGTAACGCCTGATCCAGTGCTCTTTCCACTCAGACACCCCAGCTTCCAAGGTGCCCCCCTGGTTGAATCGCTGGCCCCCCCGCACCCCCTGCTCACCACGTCTGTGTTGGGGATGGCGGCAGGCCCCCAGGCCCCCGTGGCGTCTCGGCACTGGTTCTCGTACACCTCCTCCAGCACCTGGCTCTTGTTGATGTCTGTGTCCAGGAGGAGCCTGGGGGCAGTGAGACCTCAAGTTCCCAGCATATCTCCCTGAGCTTACAGGCCCCTGGGGTCCTCCTCTGTTGGCTGAGCACTGCCATACCTGGCAGCCCCACCTGCTCTGGGCAAGGCTGGGCAGCGGGGCCTGGCATGCAAGGTAGGGTGGTGGGTAGGTCCCCCTGTCCTATGCACCCCAGCCCCCGGAACCAGGCTGCAGTAGCTGTGTGCCCGCCTCTCTGGGCTGCTGCCTACTGGCCCTCCTGGGTAAGAAGCGGCGTCAGCTCCACTGCTGCCTGTCCAGGGGCTCACAGGCTTCGGGTCCCACATCCCAGCCTTACCTCCGCTGAGGTTCCACTGTCCATGGCCCCTGCCAGTGCCATCCATGGGGCTCCTTGAAATCTTCCTTGGGGAGGGCCTTGTGCCCCATGACGTCCGAGAAGCTGGGGCAGTGCTGCAGCCACTGCTGTCCCCACTGGTCCTTATACTTGGCCTCGTTCTCGTACTGGGGGAGGGGAGTCCATCAGTGCCTGCTGCCACCCCCAGCATACCCAGCACTGGCCCTAGGTCCCCCACTCTGGGCTGTAAGCACCTCCCAGAAATGTGGTAGTCAGGCAGAGGGCCATGTGGCACCTGCCCGGGGGCAGGAGCTGCGTTGTCGCTTGTAATGGGACGGCACCGCCCCCGCTGTCAATCAGCACAGGCAGCTGCCACTCATCAAGTGCTCACTGTGGCTGGGCCCGTGCCTAGGGCATTACATGAACTAACCCCTTTCAGCCGCACACTCCCATTTCACAGTTGAGGAGACTGAGGCTCAAAGGTCACCTCTACCCCAGGCGGCTCAGCTCTCGAGGAGTGGAGTGGGGTGGATGCCTGTGTTAGAGCCTGGTGGTGCCTGGGATGTGACCTGTCCACCCCGTGTCACTGCTGACCCTGGGGAACCTGGTCCTGCTCCACCACTGCCCTGTCTTTGCTGCCTCTGGACCTTTCTTCCACACTCCCCTTCTGGGCACGCACTCATCCTAAATCCCTCTCTGTCTCAGCACCTCAAGTTCTACAATCTATCCACAACATGCAACTTAGGAACCATGAAAATGTTTTGACAAAGTAAGTTAAAAAGCCCGAAACTCAAAACTTATTTCTCTTCTGTTCTCAGGACCTTCTCCTGAGCCATGTCCTCCCCTCCTCTGATTACAGAGCGGCCTCTGGCCGGCTGCTCACACACCTCCTGGGTTTACGGTTCTAAGGGAACATACCTCATTTCCGGCCCCTCTGACTGTCCCAGGCCTCCCCCTCCCCGGCACCACCAGGCTGGCCTGCAGGACCCAGCTGGGGTCGGCAGGGGTCCCGGGCTGTCACGCTGATGATGGACGAGACCCCCTGCAAGCAGTCGGAGCCTGGCTCACCTCACACAGCCTGAACGAATTGGGAGAAACTCCCCATAAACCTCCGTCTGGGTGAGAGTGACCAGCCCCAGGGGACCATTCAGCTGCGCTCCTGTCACCGCAGCCTACGGCTTGTCAACAGGGGACCTCTTTAGTTTCTGCCACCTCTCTCGAGCCCCTTTCACGGTTCTCGGATTCTGCCAGTGATGTTCATCTCCATCTTCGGAGCTGGGCTGTTGCCGGGTCACCCTCCCGCCGGCCCCACCCGGGGCCCCGCTCACCGTCTCCGCGGACACGACCACTTCGCCCTGGCGGAGCAGCTGCAGATCCTTGCTGTCGGTCACGTTGCCGAGCCACATGCAGACCCGGAGCTGGGCCGGGAGCGCGTCCTTCTTTCCTTCACCCTCTGGGTACTGAGCCGGAGGTAGGTCAGCAACCACGGGGGTGCAGGCCCCCAGGGGCAGGGGTGCGGGTGAGGGGGGGCACACACACCTGCCCCTTCACCCTGAGCCCTGGGAGCAGGGGCCTCACACTGAGCTGGGTGATGGCCATAACAGAGGCCGGTACGGGTGCCGCTGGGGAACCTGGGAATGCTCCAGGGAGGACTGGTGCTGATGGGGCCATTGACAACGGTGCTTGCTATGCGCCAGGCAACGAGCTAAGTGCTCTGATCCTCACACACCACCACAAGGCGGGCATCGTTATCGCCAGGCCCATTTCACAGAGGAGCAGGCTGAGGCCAGACACGCTCAGGAGTTGGCTCCGGCTCACACAAGCCAATGAGTGGTAGAGCCAGGATTCAAGTCTCAGTGATTCTTGCAGGATGAGAAGGACTCAGGTGGGCCCTTCCACCATGGCGGAAAGGGCAGTGGGGAGCCAGGGACGTCTCCGAGATGGAGGCAGTGTCCCCCACCTGCCTCCCAGGGCTGTCTTCAGGGCAGGGGACTTGTGGTCAGTCAGCCTTATTTATGGATTGTGTCTGATATGAGGGGCTGGCAACCAAACCTTATAGGTATTAAATATGTAGCTAGCAGCCAGTCGTGGTCCAGGGGAGACAGGACAGGGACAGGACCAAGTGAAGCATCAGATGATGGAGGGGACAAATTGGAGGAATAGTCATGGGTGGCGTGGACTTGGTGTCGGCCACATGCTGATGGTCCCAGGCCCCCGCCTTCCTCTGGAGAACTGTTTAAACCCCATTTCACCTGGTAAAGGGCCTGACAGAGAGGAAGCGGGCATGCCCTTGGGAGGCTCATGGGGGCTGCCCGGGGTGGGGGGGTTCAGGGCTTCTCCCTTGGGACGTCCTAGGCCCTCTCCTCCCCTGAGGACCCCTGGCCTCCCCACCTGCAGGAAGAGGGTCTGTGTCTTCCCACAGAACCTGCCGGAGTGCCGGGCCCCGGTCGGGGAGAACAGGATGGTGTGGGCGGGCACCTGTGCATAGGCCACTCGCTGCTCCCGGGACATCAGCCAGATCATCACGTCCGGGAGGTTTGTCTGGGGCTGCCGGGCGGGACAGCGTCAGGCCCACGTGGCCGGCTCCACGGCCCGCTCCCGGCCGGAGTGTCCAGCACCCACCTCGGGGAGCACGGCGTTGAGGCGGTACAGCCAGCCCTCCACGGTGGCCACCATGTCCCTGGGCTGGGCTTCCTTGGCCTTCCGGGCCAGCTCCTGCAGAAGGAGGCTGCGGAGCTGCCACCTCTTCTTGTCCAGGTCGGTTGCTTTGGGCTGATCAGTCATGCAGGGCAGTGGGCGCCTGTGGCCAGGACCGGGAGGGTGGGGGCTGAGTCTCTCTCCATGTCCCTTGCTCACCATCCCGCCCGGCCTCAGTGCCCTTCCTAGACCCAAGATCCTGCCCCGCGCCTGCTGGCCTGACCCGGGGAGCCCTGCCCACCCTCCTTAGGAAGCCCACTCACTGCGGTCCTGGCCCCTGGGTCCTCATCCTTCCCCTTCCCATCCTCCCAGCCCCTGCAGTGTGCCAGGCTCGTGCTCAGGACCTCCTCATGGACAGAGGTGTGAGCTGTGAGACAGGGGCCAACCAAACCCGGGCGGGAGTGGGGAGGATCCATGTGGGCTGCCGGGCCAGGAGGAGCCTTACAATGGCTCTTCCAGAACAGGCAGGACCCCAAAGAGGGCCTTGTGGATAGAAGGAGCGGCAGGGGAAAAGGTACGGGCCGGGACTGTGCAGGGCTTGTCTGGACAACGGGGAGGCTGGTTTGGGAGGAGCCCCAGGCATGGGTGTGGGGGGAACAGTGATGGGTGGGGAGGTCAGGGCCATTTTGGGGGTCCCTGAATGGGAGAGAGGCAGCTCTGTGGTTTGGGGAGAGATCTGCGCAGATCTCATATTTCCTGTGGAGGCAGGGGTGCGGAAGGGTGGCGGTGAGGGCTGTTCTGTAGGGTCCTGTCTGCCCCCCAGACCCTGTGTGAGCCTGCCCCGGGTGAGGTGCCCACCGCCCCTACTTGCAGTCCTCCATCAGCTCCCTCAGCAGTTTCTCCCACTGGAGGAGTAGAGCCGGGTCCCTTGGATTCCTCATGGATTTCAGGGTGTCCAGATTGGCTTTCTGCCCAGCAGGAGAGAAGTGGCAAGTGAGCATGGGGCTCCCTCAGGACAGGCTGCAGGGCTGATTGGCCCAAGATGGTTTCAGCCAGGACTTGGGGATATTTGAGGGGTAACCTGGGGATGTCAGTCCGAAGCTGTCACACGCCCTTGCAAGGCTAGGATTCCCACCCACCCTCCCAATGGGTGGCGGGAAGGAGCCAGGACAGGGTGGGACGGTGAAGAGGTTACAGGGCCCTGACACTGGGCTCCCCTTCTATCGGTGCGAGAAAGTCATATCTGAGGCGGGGGCACCAGGTGGCTCTCCTGCCTAAAACTGCTCTGCGGCTTCCTTCCTTAACAGTCATGAAGACCTTTTGTGATCGGACCCTTCCCAGCTTCCCTGGCCTTATTTCCACCTCACCTCCAGGCCCCCACCACCCCCGAACTTCCTATCACCATGGCTCTGCCTGTCGTTCCGTTCTCTACCCCCAGCAAGACTCTGCTCCAATGTCATCTCCTTTTTGAACACCTCCTCTGACTCTCCTCTCTTCATCTCCCCCACCCCAATCTCTCTGCCCCCATGGTTCTCCTGCATCTCCACCGCAGCCCTACTGCACTGCGTACCGCCTATTTGCATATCCGACTTCCCTGCTGGCGAAGACTGTGTCTACCCATCGTTGTGTCTTCAGTGCCTGTGTCTGGCACGTCTGTCTCAATTGGCGTGGAGTGCATGAGAGAGCTGAGTGACCGGGTTCCTAAGACTGCGATTCATTTTCCCAAGTCTCCCATCAATGACCCGGGTCCTTCCCTGTACCGCCACCCCATCCCCCATCCCCACACCACTCACCAGGCGGTCCCGAGTGAACTGGAGGAGGTTGAGGCAGTTCATGCGGAAGCTGACGTCCTCCCAGTAGGAGGTCACGGCCACGACGGGCTTGGTGTTGTACCAGGGCACATAATGGTAGATGTTCCCTGAGACACAGAGACACGAGCAGGGGGTGGGGGCTGGAGGTCTGAGGGACAGTGTTCCCTCACTGTGTCCCCTCAGAGGACCTTTCTTGGGCTACTTCATTCCTCTAGGATCTGCTAAGCATCCTTACTAGACTCCTCCTACTGGAAGGTGGGCTGCAGGCCAGTCCAGGATGGACGCGCTTTGATGAGCACAGCCGGCTGGCCGGAGCATTCACTGTGCTCAGTGTCACACAGCCTTACGGAGTCCCCAGTTTATAGGTGGGAAAACCCAGGCTAGTGATGGGAAGCAGTTTCCCTGTGGTGGCACAACCAGGTGGTATAAAGCAGGCATTCCGTTCCAGAGCCCGTGCCCCTAACTCAGGCAAGATGCCAAGGCCAGGGGCCTGCCCTGAGGTAGGGTCTTCCTTCTGGGTGGTGGGTAGGCACATGAGGAGTGGGTCCTGTGTTCGGGAGCCCCAGGGTTTGGTTGGCGTGGACAGACATCTGACGTGAAGGGCCTGCCGTGCAGAGGAGTGGGGTAGAGGAGTAAGCATGGACACAGCCAGTGATGGGCTTGGCAGGCTGGGTCTCCTGGCCATGATCCTTATTGAAAAGAGCGGGGGACTTCCCTGGTGGTGCAGTGGTTAAGAATCCGCTTGCCAATGCAGGGGACATGGGTTCGAGCCCTGGCCCGGGAAGATCCCACATGCTGCGGAGAAGCTAAGCCCGTGCACCACAACTACTGAGCCTGTGCTCTAGAGCCCGTGCTCCGAAACAAGAGAAGCCACTGCAATGAGAAGCCCGCGCACCTCAACGAAGACCCATCGCAGCCAAAAAATAAAATAATAAATAAATTTATTTAAAAAAAGAAAAGAGGGGGGAAAAGCTAGGTGAAGCATAAAGGAATCATTTTTTTTTTGTCTGCACTGTGTGGCTTGCGGGATTTTTGTTCCCCGACCAGGGATCAAACCCGGTCCCATGAGAATGAAAGCGCAGAGTCCTAACCACTGGACCACCAGGGAATTCCCAAGGGATTCTTTTTATGAGATGTATTGCTGGGTTGACATAAAAGCAAGAAATCCACAGAAAACAAAAATAAAGTAAAAGCAGAAAGTCCGTGAGGCAAGCGGAAGCAAAGCGGACTTTTGTCCTCTGAGTTTCTGGCAAATCTTGGAGAACCAGGTCTTTCTGACGACTGCCAGGGCCCAGGAGAGACAGCTGAGCACTGCCCGGGGTGGGCAGTCTAACAGGACACCCCATGTGACATGGGTGGAATTGCATCCCCTGTAAAACTATGTTGAAGTCCCAATCCCTGCTACCTTTGCATGTGACCTTATTTGGAAATAGGGTCATTGCAGCTGTGATTAGGTAAAACGAGATCGTACTGGAGTAGGTTGGACCCTTAACCCATAAGGACTGGTGTCCTTATAAGCAGAGGAGAGGGACAGAGAGATGACAGGCCTGTAGAGACACAGAGACAGAGGCAGAACGCCATGTGGAGATGGAGGCAGAGATGCAATGATATATCTACAAGCCAAGGAGCACCGAAGATGGCAGGCAACACGTAGGAGCTGGGAGAGAGGCGTGGAAGAGATTCTCCCCCAGGTCCATCAGAAGGAATCAACCCACCAACACCTTGATTTCAGACTTCTAGCCTCCAGAACTGTGAGAGAACTCATTCGTGTTGTTATAAGCCGCCCAATTTGCAGTACATTCTGATGGCAGCCCGAGCAAACTAGTCTGCTATGCAGAGCTGGCACTGCAAACCCTAAACCCTCATTCAGTGAGAAAGAATCCACCACACGGAAGAAGACAGTAAGGAAACTCGCCCATCTCCAGCGTGGCTCCGGGTAGAGGGGCAGGAATTTTCCTGAAAATTTGTAACCACAAGTGGGGCCTCATGCAGGTTGCATTCTTCACTCATGCCACCTGCACGGTCCAGAGAAAACTTGACGCAGTCTCTGGTTGGCAGTGCCCCTAGTGATAACTAGAGGAGGCAAAGACAAATCCTCACTGGAGCATGAAATTTGGGTCAAGTCCCAAAGGATTCCCACAGATAAATTTCCAAGAAAACGAGCAGCTAAGAAGCAATATACATACCCTCTACCCCAGCAATTCTGCTCCTACGTATACAACCAACAGAAAGGCATAGAACAGCATTATCAAAAGAAAAATGTTCACAGTAGCACTACTCATAACGGTCCAAAATCTCCTTCAGCAGTAGAAGGCATAAATAAATTACGGTATTTGCACAATGGAATACTATACAGCCATGAGAATAAACGAGCCACAACTACACCCAACAGCATCTAGGTTTGTGAATGCATTTCACAAATAAAATGATGAGCAAAAGAAGCCAGGCACAAAACAATACATACTATATGATTTCTTTTATATAAAGTTAAAAACCAGACAAAACCAACTGGCAGTTAGGAGAGGGATAGCAGCCCTTGGCAGAGAGGGGCTGAGGGCTCAAGGGGCCTCTAGGATGTCGGGACTTGGTTTCGTGGTCTGAATGTTATGTGGGTATGTTTGCCTTGCGGTAATTCATTGAGCTGGACGCTTTGGTTTGTGTACTCCTCCATAGATGTGTTATACTTGAATCGAAAGTTTACTCAAGGGCTTCCCTGGTGGCGCAGTGGTTGGGAGTCCGCCTGCCGATGCAGGGGACACGGGTTCGTGCCCCGGTCCGGGAAGATCCCACGTGCCGCGGAGCGGCTGGGCCCGTGAGCCATGGCCGCTGAGCCTGCGCATCTGGAGCCTGTGCTCCGCAACGGGAGAGGCCACAGCAGTGAGAGGCCCACGTACCGCAAAAAAAAAAAAAAAAAAAAAAAAAAG